AGTGGAAAAATTTCCTACAAAATATTTAGGACTTCCCTTGGGGGCAAGAAGAAATGATCCAAACCTATGGCAGGGAGTACTGGATTAATGCAACAGCAAACTCACTCCCTGGAAGAAGCAGTATCTTTCATATGGGGGAAGACTTCCGCTTATAAATAGTGTACTTGATGGGTTTCCAACTTATCTAATGTCAATGTTTACTTTACCAGCTGCTGTTGAAAGAAAGCTGAACTCCCCGAGGAGTAAATTTCTTTGGGAAGGGTGTGCTGAAAATAGAAAGATGCATTCGATCAAATGGGATAAAGTAATAAGGGATAAAAAAGGGGGAAGAAGGGGACTTAGAAACTTGAAACTGCATAATAAAAGTTTGCTCTTCAAGTGGCTATGAAAATACAGTTCTGAAGATGACGCTTCCCGGAAGCAAATAATTGAAGCTGTCTATGGTAAAAAAGATGAATGGAAATTTAGCTAACTATTAGACAAAGGGCTGGATCTGGAGGATAAACAGATTACTTAGCTGACCAACCAAGTGAAAACTCACACCTTTCTTGGTGTCCTAGGGATACAAACCGATAGATAAGGGAAACCGACTTCTCTCTAGCTAGCAACTTTCAATAGTAATTTTTTCTAAGAACTGTCCACTGAGTCCCATGGGAAGTTCCTCTACACTCTTTCCAGTTTCCCTGTCACGCTAGCTGGTGCCTGCAGTAGCGACAAAAAATAAGTGAGAATACTAGATGTAGTGCTTTTAATTTAACACTTCCTTTCTCTACTCCCTTTTGAGCAAATCTTTCTGCCAACTCATAAGTCATTTTCTTTACCCTTTCTACTACTGGATTGCTTGCTTCTGTTTCTTTGTTTGATGAACCAACAACAACTGATACTAGTGGTTGGAAGAGCTTCAATCCTGCATTTGAGCACCTGTACAACTATCAATATTTGTTCACTTCACCCACTGGATGGTCTCAAACTTTCTGAGGTTGATCTCGAGACCAAGCACTGCCCTAGAACCAAATAATCGCATGTCTCAAGGTTTCCAGTTAGTTCCTTCGGCATCACAAAATACTAGAGCGTTGTTCTGAACAAGTGGTGTGTAACTCTGTCAATGCCTTGACCCCTAAACGCTGTAGAGAACCCCTCAGGTATCCACTTGTCACAATTCAAACCATCAGTCTGTTCAATGCTTCCATAAGCAGTTTAAACAACATGGACGATAATGGATTCCCTTTGTCTTAGACCTCTCGAGCTACTGAAATATTTACGCACGGGCTACCATTCAGTAGGACTTATTTTCTGACTGTAGCGGTGCAGAATCTAATCCACTTCCTTTGTCTGTCCCCCGATCCCACTCTCAACATAATGAAATCCAGGAAAATCCTAATTGGCATGATCGTACTGTTATATGGAGTTTTTTGTTTACAATAATTGTGAGATCGGACTTCTCCAGGACTGCATTTTAGACGATCTCTTTTTTCTAGCTACTTTTTTTCATTTGCATATTTTTATGATGAATATAGCCATAGATGACTTAAATAGGAAAAAAAAATTCCTTCTCATTTGCTTCACGAAGTCCTATGCTGATTGAGTTACTGGTTCAAAGATGGTAGTTTTATTGTTTCTCTCATATGAATGGGCTGGGTAAGCATAGTACTTCGTGCAGTTCTAAACATTACCCGGAGGACTTCACTTGACTACACTGAATTTTTGGGTAACCTAGTATATTGAACTTGATCAGTTTGGCAGTGTTTTTCTAGTGAAAAATTATCCATAGCAATTTTGTGGAGTTAGCTACCTGATTTTAGGGTTGATAAGAATGGACCTTGGGCCTAACTCAACCCCAAAAGCTAGCTTATGAGGTGAGGATTGCCCAAGCCATATAAGGAGACCAAGGACCTCAAATCTCTCCGATGTGGGACAACTCAACAAGGGTACAGTATATCTTCGGTTAATGCCAACATAAACTAATGCAGGCACTTTCTAGACGGGCTTCTCTTTTTGAGATGATCAGAGATTACGGACGAGCAGCTTCAGATCTTCAGCGACTTGTGTCCCTTCTGACAAGGCATATGGAAAATAAAGTTGGTGGATCTGGATCACATAACAAAATGAGTTTCATAAACGAGATTCGTCAAACACAACGAAAGCTTTCGGTAATGGAGGAAGAAGCCAGAAAGGAAATCCCCTTGAACTTTTACCTCATCTTGTAAGTTTCTTAATTGTGACTCAAGTTATTGAACTCTTTATTTTTTTCTCAGTCCAGAAAAGATTGACACCTTTCGATATTTAAAAACTCTTTAATGTTAAGAGGCGACATTTTACCTTTAATGACATGCTATGGAAATAGACATGGCATGTTAAAAATTACAAGATATTTTGTTTGCTATGTTATACATCTCTAGCTTACATCTATAAAACGAATCGAGAGAGTATTTGTTTGTGGAAATAATATGCATACAGGTGTATGATGTTTTAGTAAGCAATTGTTTTTCTAACGATTGATGCGACAATGACAGGGGAGTTGATTCATCTGCTGGTGCATCAGAAATTAGGAAAGCCTATAGAAAAGCTGCGCTCAAGCATCACCCTGATAAGGTTCTTTCTAGGACCTTTGCTACTTTATAACACCGCTTATGGCGACTTTAGCTAAACATTGTTTTGCTGATCTAGGCTGGGCAATCACTGGCTAGAAATGACAATGCAGATGATGGGCTGTGGAAAGACATAGCAGAAGAAGTCCACAGAGATGCCGACAGGCTCTTTAAGATGATAGGAGAGGCCTATGCAGTGCTTTCGGACTCTGCAAAGGTATGTTTATGCATACTCTATTGTGCTTCATTGTTTTTCTCCTGAGGTAATTTGTTACTATGATCACACCCGAGGGTGTGGCCTAGTGGTCAATGAAGTGGGTTGAAAACCTGAGATCTCAGGTTTAAATTCCGGCGGAGAAAAAACATACTAGGTGATTTCTTCCCATCTGTTCAAGCCTTGGTGGATAGAGTTACCTGGTACCTGTTGCAGGAGGGAGGTAGCAGGTATCTTCATGGAATTAGTCAAGGTGCGGACAAGCTGACCCGGACACCACAGTTATAAATAAAAAATTGTTACCAAGATCAAAGAATGTGTAGCATGTAAAATGGCCAATTTGTTGCTAGCCTTTCTTTCCCTATCCCGGCCTTGGGCACTCGTGGATCTTCCCCTAGGGTGTAGGTTAGCATGGAATTAGGGGCTTGTAGCAAGTTTATGTACCCAACCTGCTTGAGTTGCCTATTAATTTCAGTAGATTAAAATATAATCGAAGAAATCAATCCTTTTTTATGCCTTGCCTTATCCCATGTATCTTGTTCCTCGTGTTGCGGGCGTTGTCAATGTGGAGCTCGTGAAAGTTAGGTCTCCTTCTTCCATTGAATGGAATTTTCTTAATTGTTGTTGGGAGTCGAGGAGCTTTTAAAGAAAAGCAGCTGCTGTAGTGACAAGCCTAAAGCTTTCACCATAACAAAACCTGCATTGGTGTATATTGTTAAAACACTAGGAGCCAGCCCAAACCACCTCCCGTGCCTGACCCGTCCACCCATCTCCCAAGAGGATTAACAGCACTTCACTTTTTCCCTCCTTTGGTGACTCGAACTCCCAATCCAATGGTTGGAAGTGCAAGGACCCCTTGGTTTTCTTCTCTTTTTGTCTTCTTTGCTAAGGTGGCTTTGACTGCTTACAGCTTCCTTCTGTAGATTGTACATCTCTTGTTCGCTGAATCTTAAAATGGGTTACTGCTATTTTTTTGAAGCGTTCACGTTATGACCTTGAAGAAGAGATGAGAAATAGTCAAAGTAGAGGCAATGAGAGCAGCACATTTAGAGAACACACGGATTTTAACAATTATCCGTCTGAGAGAAGTGGAAGTAGACACAATTGGGAAGATGTTTGGAGAGCATATAAGAGTACCCAGCCCAGAGAGTCGGACAGAAATAGATCAAACTGGTAGTTGTGACGAATGTGCTGTGCTTGAGCCTTCATACAGTTCGATCCAGCCACGTGTTCAGCATTCTGCTTGCATGTGCAGTCTGCTGTTAGCGCAGGATGTGTGAGAAATGACAAAAGAAGAGGCGTGGAATTTGTGGATGAAGTATTCTCAACATACTGACACCTCTGCCTTTCATATTTGGCACTTCCTGACTAGTCATTCGAGCAGAGATGAACAAAAAATTGTTACATAAAATCTTGTTTGAGGATTTCAAACATTGGCTTAGCAACTTTGAGAGAGATTCGAATGTACATCAAGCCGGACTCATGCATGCAAAACTGTTTCGGCAACAAACAAGGATAGCCTGCACGGATGCGGTTGTATAGTTATCAGACAATGTATACAGACATGCTATAGAGACCAGCTCAACGGTTTGAGAAGGATATGACTGATTTTTTCTAAGTGATTCATTTTCTGTTCCAGTTCATTTCTGCATTTAAATTTTAGGCAATACTTGTAATTTTGTTTGTGTACAGAAGTGTGCGCTTGTATTTGAAATGTCCAAAGAATGATAGAGTGGTTTCTTTTTTTCCTTTTCATTTTCCTGATTGTGGGTGGGGTTTTCTGTTGTTTGTAATACACTAAAGTCAATTCCTTATTTCCTTTTGAGCAATTTGATAATTATTTGATTTGTTTTTGGTCAATGTAACATCTTTCCTGAAAATTTCATTTGACAAACTTGGTGTTGGGTATTACACATTTTGTTTAACTTTTGTTATATATTGAGTCTTCCTCTACTTAAATTTTAGTAAGTCTTGTTATCATGCACGAGAGCCGAGGATCTATCGGAAACCACCTCTCTACTTTCATAAGGTAGGAGTAAGGTCTGTGTGCACATTATCCTCCCTAAACCTCACTTGTGGGATTTCACAAGGTTTTTTGTTGTTATTGTGGACGAACCTTAAGGAAGTAGTTATTATCCAAAGAAATCCTACTACTCAACCACTAATTAATTGGTAAGTAAAACATTAACACAACTTGATGCATCAACAAGGAACTGCTTAATATGTATAATTATCAAATGTGTCTTAACATTGTTATTCAGCAGACTTCTCTAATAGAATTGTACTCCAGCTATGTAAAAGAAGATAATTAGGGGAAAGAAAAGGAAAGGGAGACAATTGATGAGATTTCATTGTTTTATCTGCATTTTCAATTTATAAGACAATGTCATCTTTTTAATCTTCAGGTTGAGGTTGCTTTTTTGGCTCCAAGCCCAACGCCTGAAAAGCGAAAAGGAAATGAATTTAAGCTCTATGCATTGACGATGTAAAAGATATTTACACAATCGAGAAAACAGCTCAATACAAGTGTCAAGGTTGTCTACCTCCATATATTTATAAATTTGAAATGCAAAAGGTACATATTATGAACCAGCATGAAACTTAGGAAGACTTACTTGATCTGTAAAATCTGTATACTGAATTTATGAATAAATTCCAAATCCGAGCTCTTTAGGATTTGTTTCTACCATCCATGGAGCCCTAAGAAGAAGCCGGAAGTAACATTTGAAACATTAAAAATTTAAGCAGCACATTGCAAGAGAAAAATGCTAACAAATAAATGCATACTTGTTGATAATGAAGTTTATAGTTCCCTGGGAAGCTCTTTGGAGAAGAACTTCCCTTGCTTCAACTGCAATTCCTTCAGGCTGCACGGAAAGCTCCAAATAATGTTTAAATATGAAGTTGACGGTCAAAATAATTCACGAGCATGTTGCGCCCAAGGGGCATGGCCTAGCGGTATATGAAGTGGATGATGAAAACCATGGGAGATTATGGTTAAATCAGTAGAGACAAAAATGCTAAGTGATTTTTTCTTATTTGCTTAAGTCTTGGTGGATGAGTTACTCGGTACTTGTGCTGGTGGGAGTAGGAAGTAGCTGACGGAATAACTGAGGTGCATGCAAGTGGACCTGAAATCTATTATTTAAAAAGGGCAGCTCGGTGCACTAAGCTCTCGCTATGGGCGGGGTCCGGCGAAGGGCCGGACCGTAAGAGTCTATTGTACGCAGTCTTACCCTGCATTTCTGCAAGAGGCTGTTTCCACGGCTCGAACCCGTGACCTCCTGGTCATATGACAGCAACTTTACCAGTTACGCCAAGAAAAATCACGGGTATGTTGGTTCATCATTACATACCTCTTCAGGAAACCAGACACCTGGTTTTGTGCTTCCCTCGAGAATAGCAAGGACAAATGCAGCTGTTGAAATTCCCACTGATCTGAAAAAGAAACAGTTTAAAGCTTACAACCTTTGGCTTTCATCACATTCTTTCTTGGATTTTCTCAAGAAAATCACAAGGAGACGAACATCGCACAGATAGTAACTCGACAATCAACAGCTGAAAAAAGTAAGAGATTTTACACTGACTGGATAACTTACCTAGAAAGTCTTTTATGACTAAATATGCCAATTCTGTTGTGTCCATCTGAGCATTCTAAATCCACCTGTTTCACAAAAGATCAAACTAACTTGCTGAGCTTACTGTTTGCGAGTAGGGTTTGACAGTCTTTACCCTTTCTCAGCAGCATTAAAACTGAATGAACTTAGGGTTTAAGTTATATATGTAATTTAACCTCTTATAGCAGGTTATCTACTTTTTTTGGGGGTGGGGGTGGGGGGTCGATCATGTTTGTTATAAATACTTACCTGTTTTAACAAGTAATCTAACCTGATGGTGTAAATATTATACGCTGTGAATGCACACAACTTAAGTACATAAACTAACGACAGTTGGTGGTCATCTTACGACTTACTCGCATTGAGACTGCCTCTCCAGATGTGCCATCAACGGCTCGAACAACTGGATCAAATAGTTGAACCAACTGCTGCACTTTGCTTCTATCCCTCAGGAATTCCTGCAGAATTTTGTACTATGTGATTAAAACACCTATTGAGTGTGCGTGATATACTGTTGAAATAAAACATAGCAAGGAGTCAACAGTATTTCCAGGCTTATTATTGGACACATCAAGATAGAAAACATAGTAAAGAGTCAACAGCATTTCGAGGCTTATTATTGGATACATCAAGATCAAAGCAGACAAAATGAAATGAATGTTTTATTTATAAACAAAAAAATCAGAGCTTCGAAGATTCTCTGCTTTCTCTTTCAATATACACACTTACTCACACTCACATACACACAAAAAGGAAAAAAAGAAATTAACTAAGAACTATATGAATGGTATCGATTCTGCTAGCTCTTACAGGTCCAGTATTCGGAGAATTCATCACAGTTGACTTTTTACGCTAGCGGTTAATAGACCACAATCTCTATTCGGATTTCAGACCAGCTATAATTTGTGAGTCGCACAGGTGGAGTTTTATTTTAAAATATATAAAGATGAAGTCTGCACCCAATGGAATTTAAGCCTCGAAAAACGGAGATCGGGAAGTATCAAGTTGAGAGACCTACACGAGGAAGTAAATTTCTCATGGCAATCATTCCCCAGTTCCAGAAAAATGGATCCGTACCAAACCGAGCGCTAACAGTCGGTACTCCAAGGACCTCATGCACACTTTTCACCTCTGGCAGATTTCTGAACATTATGAGATTCTCAAAAAAAGTTAGAACTTGAGGGATCAAAGGCTCACACATATTGAAGAAGTAGATTAGTACAGAAAGACGAAAAAACTGACTTATAAAAAAGTCACCAACCTTCTAATTATAAGAAGGGTGATATTAAAACTAGTCTATATTTCTGCAGGATCTTCATGATATTATAAAACAGTGCTCAAAGCTAGATCCTTCATAATAAATTTTCTGTTGTGAATACTCACAGGAGGAAAACATCCTTCTTGCCGATCCCTATTCCGAAGTCAATGGTAAGCATTCCACTATAAGGCTTCAACTTGATTTCCTCTCCTGGCATAGAATTACGATATACTGGTGAGATCACAAGAAAATACAAGTGGTTCAGGGAGGAAGATGGTGGAAAAATCCATCCCTACAACTGTAAATCTGACCTTTATTATATGCAACTACATCCTCTCCAAGAAGCAAAAAGCTAGTAGCTAAAATAGTAGGTCCGGCACCACCGGTGCCTGCAGTGTAGTAGTAGAATCTGAAAAAAATATCTAAAACATGTTAAATTTGTAAAAGATGTATCAGGAAAAAAGCGATAAGACAAATGTGTTGACATATAAATGGAGCAAAGTCCAGGCTACTTGATCATCTTTCAAGAAAATAGGTTAGCTCGTAGTTGATTGGAAGGGACTAACATTGAAAAAATTTCCTGCTCTAACTGTAAGCTTAAATCAATGTTTCTTGATAAGAACTGCTAAAAAAATTTCCGCAGTGAGTTACCCATTAGATGTTTCATTCTTATTCTTCCTGCTATAATTCCATGCCGATTAAGTGTGTATATTTTAGTTTCCTTGTATGATCTTAGGTAATTCTCACCACTTGACCTAACATTTGGGGTTGAGTTAGGTCAAAGGTCCATTTTCTTATGATAGTATTAGAGATCCACTCATGATGTTGTACTATCCAATATTAGGCCAACCATGTTATGCCACACTCAAAATGCCCAGCCTCGGGCATGCAAGAGGGTGTTAAAATTCCACATCGGTTAAAGTGCAGGGCTATAGTCTCCTTATATGTTTTTATTACAATTTGAGCTAGTATCTAGCGTTTAGTTAGGTCTGATGCCCATTTTCTTAACTGTTCCATAGCGCTAGAAAGAAGCAGTTAACGAATGAAGAAGATTTCCTGTAAAATGGAAGATCAGCTGATTAACTGTTCCGGCAGAGGTATCATTTTGAGCCAGACAGAGATTCCTGTCACAAATTAAAGGCACTGCAATAAGCTATTACTATTAAACAAGGACTTGCTACTGCGCCAGCAAATTCAGTATTATCCGGCTAGATGAGAATCGGACAGAGTTAAATAGAAAAATTCAAAACATTTCCATGTTGGTTGATAGGCAGAGGGGTAATTTCAAGAGAGCATTAAGCAACATTTTGTGGCAAAGATGGAAATTTTTTGATATACTAGGGTGGATAAAAACTGCAAGATACTCAATGATTATTATCGTCGCAGAGCGTATATGTCATCTAACAAAAGCTCTCTTTGGAATAATTGTTAGGATAGACAAGTTCGTCCTTGAATGAATTAATGTTCGTTCAAATCTCTGATCAAAACTTGACAATGTAGTAAAATGAATAAATCCGCCCTAAAATGTACCGGGAAAGGGTTACCTAAGCCTCTCCAATTCACCATTACTTTCAAGTTTCGCAGTGCGAACAAGCTCCGCTGCCATCACTGTCATTGTAGTAAAAAAATAAATTTGAGTTCATTTGATAAAGTAGTAAATTTTAATTTTCGACATATACACTTCCGCATAAAACCCTATAAAAGGGATTGTAGATGCAATGCAGCAGACTAATTGAAGATACAATAGTATCAGCTTGTTAAAGGCAAGTAATCAGATTGCATATGGAAACTAGAGAGAAACACTTCTTTCTCAAGTCCATGCAACAGTAAAGCAGATTCACAGGAAATAAACGAAGTTTGAAAGACTAGATAAAACAAGCCGAAACCCAAAGGTGTTGGCTCAACTCAACTTTGCTTACCAAGTGTTACAACTCGTGCTCGAACTATTCGAACTCTATATTTCTGCTCAAGCTCTAGAGTGACCAAAGTTGAAATGACTCAGCTTGGCTCCAATTCTCTTAAAAAATTAAATTCTACATATATGATGTTTCAAGTTCTTAATTTTATTCTCAAACCACAAAATAATCCACACAATCTAGATATGTGTATATGCTACTTAGATATGTATATACATCAAAACATATGCATCAGAAAATCGAGCAAAGTTCTGGAGTTTTTGAAGCCGAATAACTTCTTCATATTCTAGACTAGAAATATTTGAACCTCATTAATATATTCGAACTTGATTCGAGCTCAACATTATTTGAGTTAGAATCAACCTTAATTTACTTTGAGCTAGAACTATATGTTAAATGATCGACTTGATTCAGCCATACTTGCCATCCATTATATTCCATCAATAGTTGTGAACCATAACAAATATTTCCACAAAAGAATTAGCCGAACTAAAAGGAATTTCCATTCTAAGCTGTTCCATATAAATAAGAGATTATTGAATATTGTTCTTTTTCCGTTGTTCAAATGCACAACAATATAACATCAGTCATATAATACCATTGCTCACTCCTGGGTAGATTCCACCGGTAGTTATGGCTGGAATATTGGCTTCCAGAGCTTTATTCATATAGGACTTTGCCCGTGTTGCATAGCTTGTGTCATCACAAACATCAAGATAGGCTGTCTGTTGAATTGACACGACTTAATTAAAAGTTTCAATTGTCTCTGTAATTAGAGGAAGAGTTTCATAGTTCTGTAATCATTTCTTATAAGAAAGTTAAATAACTTGGAAGTTATGCCGATTACCTTTCTCTCACCTTGGTCCCAATGGCAGCTTCTAGTACTTTACAGTTTTCTGACTGTTGGAATGGCCCGGCAGTATGAACCACAATGTCCACATCTGCAAATCGGCGAACAGTAAGATAAATTATATTCCCCATGTTTCAGCCAATGTTTGAAGTATGAAGAACATAGCGTGATTTTATTTTTGATAAGGAACATAGTGTGATTTTATATAAGTAGGAAGAGAAGTGGAATGCATCATTAACATGTAAAAGAAGAAGGAAAAAACAAGATCCTTCCAAAATTCCCTGCCGTTATTTCCTTTTTCTTTTTCTGGCATAAGCCCCATATTTCTTCCATCAACTATGCCAACATATAAAATCACTCATGCGTGAGACATTTGTGCTTATACCATGTCTATGCTGACCAGTGGAGGTCGTAGTATATCGACTTGTCTAAGTTTACCTTACAAGTATCCAAGTGCAAGTGCCGTAGTCATATCAAACAATCATACTCTTTAACATGTTTGTCAAAGAGGAAATGACATCGTACACAAAAATTTACAAACCGAACATATGCTAACATAATTTTCTTTGAAGAGTATGATTATGCTAGTTTATCTATAGTCATACAACACAGATTCCTTAACTAATCGATCAAGGAAGCGGTTTAATGCAACGAATATCAGTTTACTGAGAGTGAGGTGCTAAAGTGACAGCAGGATGGCGATAAATGACAGAGAGGAAGAATCATTGACTTAACATAACTTTTTCCTGTTAAGATAAATTTATATAAAACATAACACCATATAGCACTGCATAGGATGTTGGTCTATGTTGCTCGGACTCTCCGAAAATGTCGATGGCGCGTGCCAGATCCTCCAAAAGTAGTGCATTTTTGGAGGAACTGACACGGGTGCGGCAGCTCTTTTGGAGAGTCCCCGCAACATAGACGTTTATAATGATGATCCATACTTATCAAGATATTAACATGAAATAGACAGCTGTATTTCGTAAAGTACTTCTCAAATTCAAACTATGAAAAGTGGAAGGATAACCTGTCAAATTGGCTTCTAATGCTTCTCTGTTGTCTATATTTACTTCAGCAAATTCTGAGTTTTTTCCTAGTTTTGACACCATAGCATTCCCTTTCTCCCTGTCACAAATAATAATGCACAGCATTTTTTCTTTATTCACCAACTCCAAAACCACATTCATCAAGAAGTCCAAAATTACAACAAATAACTTTTAGAAAGAAACAAAGGAAATTCATGCAGAGAATGACATGAACTAAGAGATAGATTTAACTGTGAGATTTGGATGAAAGACATAGCCAATATTAGCGATATGCTGCATGGGATTGTGAAATTGCATTTCATATATATATATGGTAACTGAACTTTAGCCACTACATTAGTAAAATCAACAATAATAACATACCCAGTGAATTCCTACAAGTTGGGTCTAGGGAGGGTAGAGTGTACGCAGACCTCAGCCCTACCTTGTGCAGGTAGAGAGGCTGTTTCCGATAGACCCTCGACTCAGGTAAGCGCAGTCATAGTAGTAAAGAAATGAATAACAAATGAGTAAAACGTTATAAAAAAGAAACAGAGGCAACAACAAGATAGTAACAAACTGGAACAGAAGCAACAACAAGCAACAACAGGTAATAATAGTGATCCTTCGCCAGAACAAGAGTAGTACTAAAGCTATCGGTATGGAAGGGCCAGACGCTATATTACCTACTAACCTTCTATCCTAATCCTCGACCTCCACAACCTACTATCAAGGTTCATGCCCTCAGTAAGCTGAAGATGCATCATGTCCCGCCTAATCACCTCTCCCCAATATTTCTTAAGCCTCCTATACAATAGTAAAATCACATAACTATTTTTTTGTTACATTAAAGTTACTGAACTTAACCAACAATAACAATAGATTCACAAAATTATTTTGTCACATTAAGGAAACTTTACCTACTATAACATGTAACGTCACAAAACAATTTTTAGTCACATTCAAGTAACTTAACTTTACCCATCGTAAAAGTAAAATCACAAAACTATATCTTATCAGCACCCTTCGGTGCGCACTGGGTAACCTGCTCACTCTGCAACAGCCCGCAAAACACACAGGAGATTTGAACCGCACTAGTCAAGCCCGGTGCAACGAGCCCCGACTGAGGAGGCCACTTGTGAGGGGAATCAATCCTAGGTCTCCCGCGTGTGAAACCACTCAACCAACGTGGGCTATCTTGTTATATTAAAGTAACTAAAAGCACAAAGTAGCACTCAAATTGCAGAGTGGTATTTCTGAAAGTACAAAATGCCATGAATGAATTTTTAGTAATTTCCAACAATTTCCCATAAAAACTAAACTACGTAGAAAACCAATAACTTGAAATTCAAAAAGGGGTATTACCTATTTCTACCAGCAATGATAATGTGAAGGTCAGGACAGAATTTAGAGAGAGAAATAGCAGTAGAACCACCAACTCTTCCAGTTCCACCTAATATTAATACTCTTGATTTTTTCACTTTCTCTGGTAGCTCAACTCTGTTGTTCTGCTTTTCATTATTAATCTCCTTTGCAGAACTAGCCATTTTCACTGCCTTTTTCTTGATTCCTGTATTCCAATACATGCCTAAACTAGCCATCTTTTTAATTTCTATATGGAAAAAAGTAGTATTCTTGAACTGTTAAAAGAGTTCAGTTTCTGCCTCTCTGTTTGCTTTGGCTGAAGAAGTTAACAGTTTATCATCTTCTTGATTACATGCGTGGGAAAACAACTGCCAGAAATATAATGCCTTGGTGGGTCCCATCAATAAAAAAAGTTTTTATTTTTTTTTTATTTTTGCAAAAACTAAAAAAAGAAAAGAAAAGGCAACAGTCTAACTAAAAGCTTTTTTTTTTTCTTTCTAGAGTGCCTTTAATAAGTCTTCCACATTAGCCACTTCTAAGCATGATGTTTAAAATATATTCATAGTTTATATTGTATCTAAATATTAGTTAATTTAGCTTAAATTCTAAAGTTCAAACTTCAGGACATGACTTCCTAGAGTTTAAACCTCAAAGTTCAAACTTCGGGACATCGTGTCCTAAAGTTCGAAAATTATATCTAGAAGTTCGAATATTATGTCCTGAATTTTAAATTAGTAGTTCAGAAATTCAAGACACTTATAATCCTGTATTTTAAATTAGCAGCTCAAAAATTCAGGACTTCCAAGTTCAGCATACTAAGTTCTGAAGTTTGGATAAATTGACTAATCTTTAAATACATTGTAAATTATGAATATATTTTAAATAACAGGCTTAAAAGTGACTATTCTTGCTCTTCATCCTATGGTTGTGAAACATGAATAGGTTAGCCTTGAGAATAAAAAAATACCTTGTAGTAAACGCTTTTTTCTTTAATGGAACTTATGTGACGTGAATATGAATTAATCGGGTTCCAACGTGAATATATCGAAGACCAAACACTGGATAAAAACCCATAAAAAATAATTTTTTGCAAAAAAAAAAGGTTCTTAGTGCAAAAGCTCATTTTCAAGAATTTGAAGCAAACTATATTGGGATAGCAGCAATAATGATAATTACACCTCAATGAAGTTAGTCAGAATTTGTTATATGAATGCTCATTAACCATATTGCTCTATTAAATTTGTATCAGTCTAATATTTTAAATTTGTATTTTGCAATAAATATTTAACAGTAAGTTGGTCAGCTTTTATAAATTGGAGTCATAAGTGAACTAACCAGTTTAAACTATAGCTATGAACTAAATTTATGATATATAAGGATTTAGTAAATGATAGCTTTTGAGGTTACAAAAAATCTAAGTTTGCATTTAGTTCAATTATACCATAGATATAAATATCTACCAATTAATTCAAATATGGCATAGATTAATATCTATATACTATATTAAAAGCATAACGAAATGTCGTTCGCCTTTTTTACCCTTTAAAATTTGATTTCACTCTAGGTAAAATAGTTATTATTTTTTTTAATATATAAGGATAGACATTTATTATTTTTCTAATATTTAGGATTTCAAAATCAAGTAAATTTGACATATTTATATTCTTCCTTATTTAAACTATATAATATCACAAATTTGTACAGGAAAAAAATAACTAAGAGTCGATTTCTCTCTCTCTCAACTAAATGTGTGACTTAAACATTTGTCATCATGATTCCAAATAATTAGATAGCTATGTTACGGTGAGTAATTCAGTAAATTTATTATCTGAAGTCAAGTATTTTCTTAATACAAATTTGTTAGTTGTGCATTTGCTAAGATGGTTGAATTTTGAGCATTAAGATCGTATTATATGAAACATAATACATTTTCATATTTATATTTTAACTCTCTTTTACCCAAAAAAATATTTTTTTCCTTCATCGGCTCTTTTGTATAATATTTAAAATTACAATTAACACTTAGAACAAATAACAGAGAAAATATCTAAAAATATAAAAGAGAAAAAGTGAGAAAGATGATTGATATAACATTTACAGTCCCGCGCACAAAGATTCGAAATTGAAATAATCATTAATATCTTATCCTTTGAAAATAGAATCTTACTAGATATAATTATAATTACGTAAATACTTAAATTTTGGGATGGGCTAATATTATGTATTTGAATCAACAAAAATAAATAATTTTCTTTAATATTGAGAATAAATAATTAAGTATTTGAATACACTAATTAACAAAATATTATATCTATTATTTTTCTAAGATCATACAAGTAATTTTTTTTTAAGCTAACAACTCAGGATATATAAATTTGTTTATAAAAGAATAACACTGCAGTGAAAGAAATTATTAAATTTTGCCAAGTCACTTATACTATGATAGAGTTAAAAAGATTAATATACAAGCTCGAAAAAATACATAAATGGGTACACGCACAAAATGCGTACTCTAAAGCTAGTTTTTAGAAAAAAGTCTAGCAATGCGTTTTTCTTGTTAAAGTTTGAGATTGATTAGAATAAATACTAGTAAGTGAATTGAAACTATGGAGAAAATATTAAATTGTTAAGGTAAAATAAACAAATGATATGTTTGAAATAATGACATTTTTGAGGTTGACTCTTCTCAATTCCTTTAACTTTTTCACTTTTCTATTTTCTCGTCAGATTATGCCTGGGGTATGGAGTCGTCTTTATTATGGAGCGCTCTAACCCAATGTGAAACTTTTTGGTGCGAATCCGGATTTAGTAGGACCCAAATATAAGTATCGAACGCCGAGTGGAAAACCAAAAAAATCAAATTATACCTCATTTCATGTATACTTTTTGTTAATATTATTTAAGTGCAAGATAATGAATTGAGGCTTTAATGTAGATGCGATCAAATCATTTCAATTTTGTTAAAGAAACAAATGAATTAATAACTCTTTGCCTTTATTGAAGTGTGAATATATCTCCTTACACTCGTTAAACTCATGAACACAAATTACAAAAAATCAAGTCTTCATTTATTGCTAAGTAGTAAATTTCCCCTATATAAGAAGCGGTTAAAATATTTCACACTACACATTTCTCCTATTTTCTTACATTTCTTTTAATAGTTCTACAATGGCTATACTTCTGCTTGTTGCACTGTTGCCAAATCTTCTAATATTAGGTAATATGTTAATTTAATTCTTTTTTTATATAGCTCCTTGCATGCATAACTCCATTTGATTTTTCAGAACTCGAAAGTTGGTTTTATGTATATATTTTCTTATTCCACATATTCTATCCTGCATAAAATAATACATAATTTTTCGTATTACTTAAGTGTGGTTTGTTTGATTCCACCAAACAAATCTTACAATAAATAACGCAAATATTATTTTTCTTATGCGACCAACGTATGTTGTATAATTTAATGTTGGAATTAGTTATACCATACATTAATCAACCAAATAATCGCTAAGTTACATGGAATATCAGAAGTCATCACACACACACACACATATATATATACTCGTATATCGAATGTATACAACAAACCCAGTATAATCCCATAAGTGGGGTCCAGGGAAGGTAGAGTGTACGTAGACCTTAATCCTACCTTTAAGGTAGAGAGACTGTTTCCGGTAAATCCTCGGCAATATATATATATTCGAATGTATATTGACTTTTTTTTATTTATGTGTTATTTTAATTATGCAGGAGTGCAGTCAATTGGAGTATGCTATGGGAGAAATGGCAACAATTTACCATCTCCTCAAGATGTCATAAATCTTTATAAAGATAATGGCATAACAAACTTGAGAATTTATGATCCAAATCCTGAAGTACTCAATGCTCTTAGAGGTAGTAACGTTGAAATAATTCTTGACATTCCCAATTACAATCTTCAAGCCTTAACAGATCCAAATGCAGCTACAAATTGGGTACATACCGATATTATTAACTATTTTCCAAGTGTTAAAATCAAATATATAGCTGCTGGAAATGAAGTTTCTCCAGGATTTCCTCAAACAGCTCAATTTGCTCCTTTTATTCTCCCTGCTATGCATAATGTACAACGAGCATTAGCAGCTTATGGGGTACAAAACCAAATCAAGGTCTCAACGGTCATGTATTCGGGTATTTTAACGAATACCTACCCTCCTTGGAACGCGATTTTTCGCGATGACCTAAAGGGTTTCATCGTCCCGATAGTGCAATTCCTGGCACAGAATGACTCTCCGTTGTTAGCGAATATTTACCCTTACTTCGCGTATCGAGGTGACCCGGCCCATGTTGCACTCCCTTATGCACTATTTACCCAACCGGGAGCGGATCCCGGGTCGGGTTATCATAACTTGTTTGATGCTATGTTGGATGCACAATATTATGCACTTGAGAAAGCCGATGGAAATAACATAGAAATTGTTGTTGCTGAAAGTGGATGGCCTTCTGATGGTGGATTTGGAGCAAGTATGGAAAATGCTAGAACTTATTATATAAATTTGAATAATCATGTGAAATTAGGAGGAGGAACTCCACATAAGCCTGGAAAAGTTATAGAAACTTATTTGTTCGCTATGTTTGATGAAAATTTGAAGGAAGGAGATGAGACTGAGAAACATTATGGAGTGTTTTATCCTAATAAAGCTAAGAAGTATAATATTAACTTCCAATAGGGAAGGATTTTTTGTTTTTAATTATGTATTAGTATAGGATAGAAAGACATATTAAAGACTCAATTCATGACTAGCTTGATCTAGTCAAAATATTGTTCTTGCTAAATATATGGCTGCAAGCTTAATTATATGAAATCCCTTCTCTCTCTCAAGTTATCTCTATTTTGTTATACATAATATTCTAAACTAATCACATAGGTAAAATACGAAAGAGATATTGAATATAAAAGAAACAAACCTTAAGCTCTTGTAACGCGAACAATATCATTAGTGGAATGAATGTTATACTTGCCATAGGAGTTTTGAAATTTATATTAAAATCAAAATAGAATTTGAAAACTATAAATCTACAAAATTGTGCAGCTTTAACAAAAGAGATCTTTACATAAATAGATTGTCATATTTATTTTTTACTTTTTTAATCATATACATAGTTTATACATTGATTAAACATAATTATACACATATAATACATAAATTATGTATATACTATACCTCCACCGACTATTTTTATTTTTTAGTTTAAACAGTTGGATGAATGGTTATTTGGGATTAATTCTGGTTTATTTCATTTCGAAGTAGCGGGTACAATCTATCCTTAATTGGCATAATTAGTTGAGATTCTTCAGTGTTAAACTTTGCATATTTAGCTTTAGCAACTTCATTAATCTCTAAGCATTCTTTCTTAATAAGAAGCATTTGATAGAAGGTGGTTTGACATACCTTTGTACTTTATAACTAGTTATTAATTTCAATAACTTGTTTGGATGGTTGTTATCCATTGTATTGTATCGTATTGTTACTTTAAATATAATGTTTGTTTTGATTGTTACTTAAATTTTATTGTATCGTATCGTTAGATCCATCGTTATATAACGACGAAATGTGCCACTTTATGTAACGACCGATTTGGTGTGGTCGCGTCGTTACCTTGTCTTTTTCTCTCAATCTCACCATCTATTATTATTAAATTATTTTATTTATCATTTACCCTACCTTTTTATATAGCAATTTTATCTTGTATCATATTTTTTCTTTATAATATTGCAAGTTTGTTCTTTATATTGCTGGTGCGTGATATCATAAAATGATGGCAAATGACACAATCTATCCAAACATTGTATTTATCAAACGATATAGTACAATTCAATACAGTACGATACGATACATTATGAAACGATGCGCAACAACCATCCAAACAAGCTGTAAAGAAAGAAAAAAGGTTGATACACCTCGAAAGTATTAACCCACTTTTTTTCCTTTTTTTTTTTTTTTTTTTTTTGTTTTTGCATGTATTTTGTAATTTATTTTGTTACTTATGCCAGATCAGATTTTGTTTCCTAATGTTATTTGGAGTTGGATTGCATGAAATTTGTCATTATAGGGTTTCTAAAACGGAAAATCTTCTTAAATGAAACTTTCCTAGTTATACTATGAAAAGGACAAAATAATGGTTCACACTATATAAATTTTTATCTATATAAAGACCTCTTCTTAAGCCCTTTGTTATTCAATTCCCATCAGAAAAATTCTTGATTTGTTGTCTATTCAACAAAATTAAACAAATTTCTCTCTTTGTTTCACCAAAAAAAGAAAAAAAAACCATGGGGTTCAAATCAAGAAATCATGACAAGACTATTTACTATGGAAGAAAGACTACTAGACGTAAGTTTTTCCCCCCCTTCTGAATGTTAAATTATTTGTTTTAAATATTTTCTGTTTTTGGGATTTAATTTTTAATTGTTATAAGTCATGGGAAAAATTGATTTAAAAAAAGAAAGAAGATAAAGCACAAAAGAAGTAGAAGTAGAGACACTCTCACAGATATATCAGAAAAAATAATTTTTTGGTCTAAATTTTGGTTATTTGATTGTTGATCGATTACCATAAGAAAATTAAGCTCTAGAAATTGATTTTATCTTTATTTTTTTAAAAGCTATGTTATCGTCATTTAAGCGAAAACTTTCGTTTTTTTTTTCTTCCTCTTTTCATGTTATCTTCGATTTTTGTTATCCAATGAGGGGTTTTAAGCGGTTTCCTTATTTTAAAGCTGAGGTATAAATTATCATCAATAGTTTTCGTCTGAATTTCTCTACACTAAGAAAATTCTAGTTTTACTTTTATTTGTTCTTACATTCATTGATTTTATTTGAAGATCAAAGATTTAATTGCCTTGGACATTTTACACTCTAGCTATAAAAGCTTAAATTTCAAAGGTTAAAAACTAGAAGAAAAATAAAAGGGCGAACTCTACGAGAATATTGATTGCAAATGTGTAACTGTTTTTTTTTAGTTGAATAAATGAGGAGCAAAATTAGGAGAAACAAAAATTAATGAAGGAATTAATTAACAAAAAAACAAAAGGCAACCCTCTTATCATGAATCTTTATTTTATGATTATTTATAGAACTTTGGCTGATATTTCTTGTAATCGATTTACTTAGATTCAATATTTATTCAGTCTTGCTTTATTTTTCGATTATTATTTACATTTGTTACGGGCGTTTACATGTTCTTTATCGTTTACGTGATCTAATAGCATGAAAATTTGCGTGCATAAATTTAATCCAATTTTTTATTTAGTCTTGCTTTATTTTTCAATTACTAATCACACTTATTACAGACGTTTATATATTCTTTATCGTTTACGTGATCTGATAGTCTAAAAATTTGCGTGTAAAAATTTAACCTAATTTTTTTTCTTAATTAGGGATTTGGGTGCCGGCAGTTCCTGCATGGGAGAAGGAATTTTGTTTAAAGAATGGTGAATTCACATGGGAAAATTTCTTGGAATGCAAGAGATATACATATCACTTTTCAAAAATATTGGAATGGAATGATTCAGCTGCCGAAGAAGCATTTAATTATGCAAAAAATAGATTTAATGCTGAGTTTCATAACTTGAAATTTATTGATACTAATTTTGAGCCAAACCCTAATCTCTACATTGATGAAATTGATTGGAATAATTCAGAAAATGATTCTCAGCTTTTATTGGAATTGGAATTGGCATTGAAAGCTGCAGAAGAAGAAGAAGATGATGGAATTAATATTCCAAAGCATTTGAGGAGAAATTATGATATGCCAATTGAGAAAATTATACCAACTGGTTGGAATGTTGTTGATTTTGTTGAATGTAATGTTTTGACTGGTCTTATTGTGGGTGATCATAGCAGTTGCGGTGAAGGTAGCGAAGTCATGTGAAGTAGATTAAAGGACAATAAATACCATAGGCTAATTAGGTTGTAACAATTTGATTTTTATGATCATGTAATTTTTATTTCGTTGTTTATTATGCCTTAATTAGAAAAACCAGCAGCAGAAAAAGTGGATTTTCTCATTTTCATTTGTTAGAATGTAATTAAGATTATCTTCTGTCAAATCTATGAAGCTTAAACTCTTTTCAAGTTATGTTCTCCCTTGTGCTTACATATTAATAGTAGTTATCACTAACCCTAAGGGGTAGCTCGGCTGGTAAAGGCTTGAGGACAAAGTCCTTCAGGTCGCCGGTTCGAGCCCCAGGGCCCAGCAGGGTCACTGAAGGCATTACAAATCGGCCGCGTCTCCAGGGCCCCGTGGAACTAATCGTGGTGGACCCGCTTTGAAACAGCGGGACCCGATGGGTACAGCTAGTCGGGTTCGCAAAGCGACACCCGGAAACCACGGCAAAAAAAAAAAAAAATAGTAGTTATCACTTATCTGTTAAACTTCAGATTGTGAAATGATTAATTTATTTCGTCTTTCAAGTTTTTTTTTTTTTTAAAAAAAAAAAATTATGATGCGTTTCTAATTTTCCAACATTTTTTTAGCAAGCTAGGCTTAATCTTTTTTTTTTTTTTGAAGATGGCAATTTATAACTTTAGGCACCATGTTGTACTTAACCAACCATGGTTAATGAGAAGAAAAAAACCCATTAATCATGGTTTTTATTAACTACTTTAAAGGGAAATGTTGTTACTTTGCAAGAAACTAGAGTAAAAAAAAATGTTATCAACTAATTAAATAGGAAGAAGAACAATGCATTTACCTAAAATTACAATACAAGTCTATGGCTTCAAGCTGGATAATTATGTTTATGTATGAATACATTTGAAATATCAAATTAATGTATATAAATAATCATACAATATTAACTTTTATATATACTGATATTGTAAATGAATTTTTACACTATCAGATCACCTAAAATAAACATAGTTAGTAACCGTTTACAAACATACAATTAATAACTTAGAGAATAACGCATATTATATATCTGTTACAATAGGTTAAAATACATAGATAATATAAAAAAAAATACAAATGCATATATAAGATAAGTAATATTCCTAAATCATATTAACAAAAGAGCGAGTTGACTTTCTTCCCCCCCCCCCCCCCCCC